GTCTAAAACAGCTAGAAAAAGAAAAATTACAAAAAGAAACAAACACTTCTACTTATGTCCCTACAAGCAAGAAATAGAAATTATTACCAAGTTAACATTAAACGTGGCAAAGATGATGTGTGCATTCTGAAGAAAATGTGTTAAATACAAATTGAGCCCTGAATGTTAGTCTTTATAACAAGATACCACATGTTGCTCCAGTCTGGACATCAAATGTGCATCCAACGTGAAAAGTTAATTCCAGCCTCTTGACTATTTTGCATAAAAACACTCATCCACGGACCATTAGATAAAGTTACTGTAAATAAGGCTTGCCTGTCTTATTTATAAGTGAAAACTAAATAATTTCTCTTACATAAATATACAAAAATAAATACTTTCACAACAGAGTTCACTGAAGCATTTGTGCTAGGCTTCAAGAACCATAAATAAAATGAAAACTCCAATATTAGGCATTTGATGTAGCATTTCACGCTTTTCTGACAGGTATCTTTTATGTTAAGTTAAAAGCAAGCTAAAGGTGAATTTTTAAGGTTTTTTCTGCTTGCTGTAAACAAAGAAAATGGAAAGTGATTCAAATATACAACTCATGGAGATTATTCTATTGCTGCAGACTATATATCACATTTTAAATAAAAAATATTAAAAAAAATCAAACAGATTTAATATAGAGTTTCACTTAAAAAAAACTGAAAACAGAAAAAAAGGCTTTCATGCAGCTTGAACTTCCATGGAAAACAACCCAGTGCTAATAAAAAGCAAATCAATAATTTTTGTTAAATTTTAATAATCCTGCAAACCTACAAATAAAACCATCAACAGCCTGAGTTGAGATGACAGTTAACTGCGTTTCTATGACAACCTAGCAGAATAGTACAAGTCTTGACTTGCAGCTAAGCGAAGATATGAACAGAGTGACATTTACCCATACAAGAAAAATTTGCAGCTTTCCTTTAAAAAGAATCAATTCCTCCACTAACATGGATTTTCACTAAGTGTGCAGCACTTTTAATTAAAGACAAGTCCTTTAAACCGTCATATAGGATTCTAGAACACTGCCTGAAACTAAATTTCATATCAATCATTCTTACTGAGTTTTGAAATTAAAAGTGAAAAAATTACTTTGAGGGATAACAAATTAAGGCAATTAAAGACTGCTCCCTAAAAAACTATTCAGTAATTTGTTACCAATGCCATAGGGTAAATTTTCACAGGCGAAGTCCTGTCACCTTGGACTTGTATACCAACAAGAATATTGCACTTTTCATCTGACAATTAAAAATCCGTGTACAAGAAAAATTTTTATAACCAATTTTTATATATATTTATTTATAACCAATTTTCCCTCCTCTTTTAACTTTATCCATATCTTTCACACATCAGTACACTTTATATACCACTGTTACAATCCAAATGAAGACTTGAATTTTAAAAAGTGTGCGTCACGTGAGTTCTAGAAGTTAAAGATCATTACATTTTCTACTGTTAATACGGAACTTAAAATTTTGCTTTTGGATACCATTTCTTTATTAAACTCTAGTTTTGTCCTGTTTGTTTTTTCCATAAAATAAAATGATACTAGATATACTGAAGGGGAGAGGTGACATTCTTATAAAGCCCAAGTTAAGCTAGTGGGAAATACCACCAGTTGAGCATCCTAGATAATTCAGCCTCACTCTGTGGAGACGGCTTTATCCCGTCCAGCTTCACTCACCAGAAAGACCTCAGCTGAACCCCTAGGAATTTTCATGAGATGACTGGTTTACTTGGTTTCATGTCATCAACTACATCTGACTAGGAGCAAATCCTTTTAATAAATATCCAACGTTTTGAAGTTAGATACAATGGAGAACACTAACATCCTCAAAAAAAATTCTCATTGTTTAAAAATAAATGCTGTTTGAACTTCCATAGTAAAAAACTAAGTGTTCATAAAAAGCAAATCAATAATCAACTATAGGTATGAGGTATAAAATAAAGGCTTCCCTCCTCTAGAACATTCTCTCTAGAATTCTAATTACCTTAACGAGAAATATTGAAAATTAGTAGTCAACTTTATAAGTTTAAGATATCAAAAAGCTATCAAAATCTACTATCAGAACATTTGAATTTTAGAAAATGTGCATTTTAAAAATTCTCTCTCTTTACAAATAATTCACTTCATAAGAAGCCCATGATATGCTAAAATATTTCTTTTTGATCACTATTTATTAAAGAAGATGGAGGACAGAAAAATAAAACAAAACACAGTGGGTGCAAAAAAGACTTTTTAAAAAGCAGAATTGAAATGATACTGCAAGTCAATCAAAACACATAATTTGAGTCTCAAAAACATAACTAACAAATTTTTAAGGAACACATCTATTCACTACAACATGGTGTTATCAACAAAGGCAACATAATCAACAACTATATTGTACAAATAATATATAAATATACATTTACTTGAAACTAAATGCTATCAATTAACGTACATGGACAATATAGGACACCTCCAAATATGTTATATCAATCTTGAACTTTTCCAGAAAGGGTAAAAGAGATCTATGATGAGAAAAAACTGTATAAAAAAAGACCTTAACTGTAAGATTCAAAATTAATCAAGAACTAATGACTATAATTAGCTTTGTATTGCCGACCACTCCCCCAAATGAATGCCACTTCCTTAAGAGGGCAAGTGTGATTATTAATTATTGTAGGCTACAGTTCTATCACAGAAAGATGATTTCATTTACACAAAAAGATGACTATCTGATAGGAAGGATGGCTTTATATATCCTTCTAAAATGTCAAAACATATCAAGAAAACTACACAAACAAGCCAAGAGAGTAACTTCTGGTTTCCATTAATAACACAAGGCATTATAGCTGCCTCAGTGACCAAACTTTTTAGGAAAGTGACATGGAGATAATGGAATTCATCTACAATGAAACAACTGTAGTCAAAGCTCCCAGGATGCCTTTCCTTCAGACTGGTGACAGAGAAGTAACTACGTTCTTAGATGAATGTAAATAACGTTGCTAAGTTTTTGACTTTCAAGCAATATTGCTATTACTGAAAACATATATTAACCAAAAAAAGGAGCTGAAATTAGGAGCTGATAACAATGTAATCTGGATGACATGGGTCTACTTTTTGATATAGATAGAAAATTCAGATGAGTCTACTCATACCCATATATTACTTTTAAAAGCATAGAATACATAACGGTTAAATAAGGGGTTCTCAACCAGAGCTGATTTTGTGCCCCACTCAGGACAACTATTTGGCAACGTCTGGAGACATTTTTGTTGTCACAACTGAGTAGGTGGAGAAGGTGCTACTAGCATCTGGTGGGTAGAGGCCAGGGATGACGCTAAACATCCTACAAAGTACAGGACAATCTCCCAGAACAAAAAATTATCCAGCCACAAATGCCAATAGTGCTAACATTGAGAAACCCTGGGTTAAATAAATTTCACAAGATTAAATATTACACAGACATTAAAATTTGTTTTCAAAGACTATTTAACAACAAAGGGAAATGTTCTTAAAAGGTGAAAAAGTAGGTCATAAAACCATGATCCAAATTTTATTGAAGAAATTTATATACCTATGCGTGGGGAAAATCAAGAGAATAAACACCAAAATAGTAACCTTCCCAAGCTTCAGTTTCTTCATCTGTAGAATGGGAGTGATAATGGATCACAGGGTTGCTGTGGCCATTATAGAAGACAGCCAATAAAAATCACTACTGTGAACTATTGCCAATATTTTCTAAATTTTCTAAAATAAACATATTATATTTATTATAGAGATAAACGCTATTTTTAACGCCATTGTTCAACATCCTCTTCAAAACTGTCTATTTACTGAACTAAGATTCTTATCTCTCAAAGCTGCTTTACCGTAACGCTTTGACTAGAAAAGTGAGAAAAAGTTGGAACCTCTAATAATTGCAGAACTCTACTTAAGATTCACAAGATATGCAGTCTTCATAAACCCTGGTCTCTCCTTTGCCCTATAGCATTAGAATTTCATGTTCAATTCAAGGAGGGAAAAAACAAGGTGAAGGTTCCCATGCCCTGAGCCCCATACCATAAACAGGATCAACTCCCATCATTTATTTTATATTGGGAAAGCGATAAGAATATATACAGGACGGAAAAAAAATGAGAAAAGCAAATAAGCTTTTCATTTCCTTCCAGCCATATGGAATAACCTTACCAATCTTCAAGATACGCCATGCAGGTGGACAATTTCCGCCACTAAAGCCAACATAACCCTCTTTTCCTTTCTTCCCAATATCCCTTGAGGATCACAAGATCCTTAGAAGTAGGGTTTATGCCTTTTCATTGTTCTGAACTTCACCTAACAAAACTGTGGGTACCTCACAAAGAACAGTGAAAACAAAAGTATGTAGTAACAGCAGACCGACTTTACTAAGAAGCTTTTCTAAGATATTCTCATTTAGCTTTCCACATGGGAAAATCCAAATCATAGAATATCAGCAGAAAGGAATCTCAGAGATCATCTAAACTATGTGTTATTTGACAGACATGGGGGGGTAGGGAGGTAGAGGCATCAGAGGGAAGGAGGTGGCTATTCAGAAACAGTATAAGTTAGAACTACAGAAAAAACTACAGAAATGAAGATCTATCATCTTCTAACAGTAGCAGCAAACAGAAGTCCTGCAAACTAAATTTTCACAAAAATTGACATTTATTTATAATTTATATGTTCACTGTTATATGCAAAAGGAAAATGCTACAGTTCTTGACATTATTTAATGTTTTACAGGAGATTAAATACTTCTCAAGCATCTTTCAATCGCACATTCCATATCCCAGGTGCACAGAAGCACCTTGCTACCCACCCCCACCAAAGCTTCTGACAGCTTCTCAAAAATTTCCATGAAGAAACAGATAAAGATAAAAACCCACAATAGCAATAAAAACTAAGACAAACTGGGGGCCAGCTCAGTGGCGTAGCGGTTAAGTTCACACATTCCGCTGCAGCCCGGGGTTCACAGGTTTGGATCCTGGGCACGGACCGATGCACCGCTTATCAAGTCATGCTACGGCAGCATCCCACAGAAAGTAGAAGAGGGGCACGGCTGTTAGCCCAGGGCCAATCTTCCCCAACAAAAAGAGGAGGACTGGCATGGATGTTAGCTCAGGGCTAATCTTTCTCACAAAAAAGCAAAACAAAACAAAAACAAAACTAAGAGAAACTGTTACCAAAATCAAGGAGAAGCTGACACATATGTCAAATACCAATTTGCACTCATGACACACCTTCATTTCTTTCATGAAAACACAGACCACCTGAACAAAAGACAGAAGGCTGCTGTCTAGCTCTGCTACCAACCCTCCACGCCCATGACTGGGAGCCTGCCCCCCTCGCCCAAGCACACACCCACCCCACCCCCGAGGGACCATCCTCCAGAAGGAGGCGCCAGTCTGCAGCCTCTGCTCACTGTTGCTCCACACCCGCACTTTCAGCCCTGGCCACCATCTGTCCACCTCCTTCTTCTACCGGCAGAGACTACAAGGCGTAACAACTAGACACTGTCAACGGGCTAGGAGCCTCGGCCCGACCAAGAGAACACTGACGGCAGGACGGTGGGCACTGCAGGGAACCAGAGAACACTAACAAAGGCAAAAGCAAGAATGCATTAATAAGCCAGAAAACTGAATAATTAATAAGTCTCTGGGTTAGTACTTTTCAAAGATCTTATTTAAATAGAATAAGCACAGAATAAATTCAGGAAATAAAAGTCATCAAAGTACTACCCATCTCCTGCAGAATGGTGTCTGCCTAGACTGTTTTAGCAGCAAGTTCTATTAAAAACTCTCAAGGGAGAGAAAACTCCTAAGTTATTTAAACTGTCCCATAACAAGGAAATATTAAAAACTTCCCAATACATTTTGAAAAAGTAGCATAACCCTGGTATCAAAACTCCCACAGAGTACATTAAAGGAAAAAAATATATAGTTCATTCATCTTATGTAAGAATTTAACTGTAAAAATTCTAAATAGAATATCATAAATTAAACCCAGCATACACTGACAGAAAACTTTTAAGACCAAATATTGCAAGAATGCAAAGATTGGATATTAAGAAATCTGATTTCATCATTTGATAGGTCAAAGAAGAAAAATTATAGGCCCACATTGACAGATACTGAAACAGCATTTATAAAGTTCAACACTGATTTTTTTTAAAAAGGCTTTTAAAAAAATGCTGATTTAAAAATTTTTTTAAAAAAGCTTTCAGTAAATAAAAAGCGGTTTCTTTCCTGAAGAGCTGAGAATGATCATTTGAAATGGACAGCCAACATAACACAACAACGAGGTAAGAGAAGCATTCCCATAATTAACAGGAAACTATCACCTTTTTTTTCCAAAACTGATTTAGAAGTTTTAACCAAGGTGAAAGACAAGAAAACGGAAAAGAATAAATATATTATTGTTGGTATAGTCTTATTTGAAGATGATACCACTGTATGGAAAGAACAAAACACAGCTTATGATGATTAATTTTGTGTCAATTTGACTGGGCCATGAGGTACCCAGATATTTGGTCAATCATTATTCTGGGTGTTTCAGTGAAGGTGTTTTTGGATGAGATTAACATTTAAATTGGTAAACTGATAAAAGCAGATGTGGGTGGGCCTCATCCAATCAGTTGAAGAACTGAATAGAAAAGAACGAAAAGGCTGACCCTCCCCCAAGTAAGAGAGAGTTCTTCCTGCCTAACTGCCTTCGAACTGGGCAGCTTTTTTCATGTCTTTGAATCTGAAATGAAACATCAACTCTTTCTGGGTCTTGAGCCTGTGAAAGCATCAGCCCTTTTGGGTCTCCAGCTTGCCAACTCACCCTGCAGATCTTGGGACTTGCTAACTCCACAATCACAGAAGCCCGTTACTTAAGGTAAATCTCTTTCTCTCTCTCTCTTTCAGATCCTCTCTCAGATCCTATTGGATCTCTCTCAGATTCTCTCTCTCAGATCCTATTGGTCCTTCACAGATCCTATTGGTTAAATTTCTCTAGAGAACCCCGAGAAATACACAGCTCCTGCCAGGACACAGAGTTTGCCTGGACTCCTGGCCCCCTCCCCCAAATCAGCCCTGAAGACACTATAAAAATGACAGGAAACAGGGATCCCAGAACTTAACAACCCTTGGTGAGCAACTCCAGAGGCAAGTGAAATTATCCAGGAGGAGGAGCTGTTTAGACCTGGCGCTCACCTCTCCCGGGAAAGTTGCCTCAGGAGCTTTTGCTGCCCTACTCAACTACAGAAATCAGCAGCAACAGCCCAGCCTTGCGGGATGAGGACTGGCCAGTCGCATTCACTCCTCCGTCCTCTATCCCCCCCCTACCAAGTAGAGATTCCCTCCCCCAGTACTGCTTCCTCCAGGAGATTTGCCTAAAGGGCAGTTTATAAGGGCTCAGAAGACTCATGGCACAAATTCCCACACTGAAACATACTTTTCAAGTAAGTATACATCTAGAAAGAAAAAGTCCAGGAGATGCTGTAAAAGATATGAGAAATGAGGATGATGAAAAAATCTTGGTAAAATTCACTAATGTGAATGTCCAAAAAAAAAAGGATGGGAGAGGAAGGGAGAGAAAATTATCCAAAATCCTACTGAAATTCATAATCAAGTGGCCAGTCACAGAATAAAGTTCTCCCAGGCCAGTTCTACCATACGCAGCCCAAATACACTGGGCAGGTTACTTAAAACCTCAGTTCCTTATCTTCCGTGAAAGGAGGGATGATAATATGTACCTCATAGGATTGTTTTAAGAATTAAATGAAATAAGTGTATGTAAAGCACAAAGTGCAGTGCTGGTAAGTATCGGGTGAATGTCAGTTACTAAAAATATTACCATTATTTGTACTATAGCGCCAAGTTTAAACTGTACAGCTCACAATCACCCTTCTGAGTTTACTCCTTATCACATTACCCAGACATAAAATTGAGCAAATGTAACATTTCTAACGTAATTACCTCTTTGTTTTACAGTACCTACAAAAAATGAAGATACATTACTTCTGACTTTGCCACATCATTAAAAAAAATGGTTTCAAACATATCTAAGTGTGAATCTTGTCATTAGGAAAGTAAAAGGAAATGCTACATTCTCCTATTTATTAAGCCAATAACCTCTCCTGGATGCTTGTAAAGACCAAAAGTAGCCCATCACAGGTCAAATATCTCAAAAAATGCCCAATCACCGATGGAAATGATGACAACAGACTAAAACCTAAAGCTCTATCAGAGGTTTCCCCACTCCCATCCCTTCTGATACTATTTTGAGAGATTTATTTAATCCACTCAGGTCTTTGGAGGAAACAGTCATATTCTAAAGTAAAGAATTAAGATACATGGATGCCTGCGAATCTCTATATTTAATAACGGCTGCACTAAAACTGAAACAGCTTATGCATGAAAAGAAATCTATGTGGTATTTAGATTTCTTATAGCATTTCTTGAGTCTGCAGAGAAAGGAATGACTTTAAGTCTTTTTTTTTTTTTTTCCCCCCAAAGCCCCAGCAGATAGTTGTATGTCATAGCCGCACATCCTTCTAGTTGCTGTATGTGGGACGCGGCCTCAGCATGGCCAGAGAGGCGGTGCGTCAGTGCGCGCCCGGGATCCGAACCCGGGCTGCCAGCAGCGGAGTGCGCGCACTTAACCGCTAAGCCACGGGGCCGGCCCATCCTTTAAGTCTTAACAGGGTAGAATCAGGCCATAACCGTCAAGTACAATTATCACTTAAACAACATTCTTGAACAATTATCAGAAAAAGAGACCCACACATTTTTATAAATATAGCTCCCGACAGCATAAGCAGTTCCATTACAACTATCTTCTGATTGTTCTCCCTTGCTGGATGTATTTTACTCCCCAAATCCTGAGAAATAAAGCCTAATGAAAAGTGCTAAGGAACAAGATGATCCAATCACATTATTCACTGTATTAGTTTCCTACCTCTGCTGTAACAAATTACCATAGACTCAGTGGCTTAAACAAAACAAATTTGTGGTCTTACAGTCCAATACAGATCTCACTGGGCTAAAATCAAGATGCCAGCAGGGCTGCATTTCTCTCAAGGCTCTAGGGGAGAATCCAGTTCCTTGTCTTTTCCAGCTTCTAGAAGCCACTTGCATCCTTTGGCTGTGGACCCCTTCCCCCCTCCTCCACCTTCAAGGCCAGCAAGGGTGGCTCTAGTCCTTCTCACATCCCCTCACTCTGACCTTCTCTACCTCCCTCGTCCACTTGTAAAGACCCTTATGACTACACTGGTCCCACCTGGATAAATCAAGATCATCTTCCTATCTTAATGTCAGCTGATTAGCAACCTTAATTCCACCTGGAACCTTAATTTCCCCTTGCCATGTAACATAACAAATTCACAGGTTCCAGGGATGAAGATGTAGACATCTTTGGGGGACCTTTATTCTGCCTACCATTATTCTACCTATTACTGAGAATAATATAAGGATCAGAGAGGATAAAAAGGATGGTGGGCTGTGGAGCTGGATGCCTCAAGCCAAAACCAAAGTTAAAAGACAGTTCTCACTTGCTTGTCCCTAAATTAAATCATGATCCTTTTGAGGACACAGCATGGGATAAACCAGCTACAGTCAGGAAGCCAGAGGTGCTCCCTGATATCTGTTTTTGAGAAACAGACCTCTCAAAGCTCTGGTTTCACCATCTCCAAAATAAGGACATAATGCCACCTTCATATAATTTTTGTGAGGATTAATGAAATCAATTCATTTATTCACTCACAAGCAGCTCTGCTAGGGAGACCCTGGTGACCAGGTCCCTGCCCTCATGCAAGTACCTGGCATAGAACTGGACAAAAATAACAAAAGAGCAGCAGTTGCATGCTTACTGAATACCTTCTAATGACAGGCAGAGTGCTAACTACACATTATCTCCTTTAATAGTCACTCAACAAATGTGTCCTATGAGCGTTCTAGATATCACCATTTTGTAATACACAGCACAAGAACTTTTAAAAGCATCAAAGACATTTTGCCAACCCAAGCTCTCTTGAACCCATTAGTCAGGCCCCATCACCACGAGTCACCATGACTGCTCTTAGCAGAATCACCAATAGCTTTGCCTTCGCAGATATCCAAGGGTAAATTCCTAGACCTCCTCTTATCCCTCCTCTCAGCAGCATGTGGCATGGCTGACCATGCTCTTCTTTCTGAGATGCATTCCTCCCTTGGCTTCTTGGATACCACTCTCATTTGGTTCTCTTCCTATCTCACTGGCTACTCCCTTTCAGTCTCCTTTGCTGATTTCCCTTCATCGACCAGATCTCTAAAATGCTGTAGTATCCTTGAGGTCTAGGCATCAGGCCTCTTATTTATCTGACCTCATACCCTAAATGATCTCATCCAGTTTCAGTTTTAAATAGCATCCAAATGCTGACTAATAAATTCTTATCTCTAGCCCAGACCTGCACTAGTCTTCTTTATCCAACTCCCTACTTGACACTTCCACTTGGATGTCTAATTGGCACTTCCAACTTGAAATACTCAAAATGGAACTGCCCCCCCACCACCAACTCACCCTGAGCACCAAAACCAGCTCAAGCTAGAGGTTTCCCCTATCTCAGTTAACAACAACATCTTTCTAGCTGCTCATCCTTAATTCCACTCTTTCACTCACACCCCTACACCCTAGTCAGGAAATCCATTGGCTCTACTTCAAAAAATACCCTAAATCCTTCATCACCTCCACCTGGAGTTCTGCCAAAGCCTCCTAACTGGTCCCACTGCTTTCTACTTGCCCCCTCTCAGACTTTTTTCAAACAGCATCTAGAGTGATCTTATTAAAACAATGACCCTCCAGTGGCTTCCCATCTTGCTCACAGTAAAAACTAAAGTCTACAAATTGACTGACATGCTCTACAATCCTGGCCACCCATCACTTCTCAGACATAATTTCCTACCACTCTGCTCTAGCCCCACTCAAATCCTCAAAGACGTGACCCCGCTCGAAGGTATTGTATTTGCACTTCCTTTTACCTGAGACCTTTCCCCCAGATACTTACTTAAATGTCATCTTATCAGAGAGGCCTTCCCTGACCACCCAGGATAAAATAGCACCTCCTCAGCTCACTCCATATTCCCCTTACCCAATGTTATTTTTTTAATCCACAACATTTATTGCCACCTGATATATATAATTTTGTTTATTGTCTACCTCCATGAAATACTGGTGTATCCTAGCACCCAAATATAGTAGTACTCAACAAATATTTGTTGAATGAATAAAATGATCAATCAGTCCATCTTGGACTGCCTAAAATAATTTTTCTTCTAGGTAGCGAAATTATAAATTCTGTTCAAATACATATATCATCAGAAAGAGTCATCTTCATCTTTCAATCTCTAACAAATGGCAGAAATAGAGAGTCATAAATCTTGCATCCAGCAAGTTTCTGCCAAGTTTCCAAACATATAATTTTAATAATATATGCTTCAAAGGGAATGTTTATCCTTGCATGAATGATAGAATAATCAGCAGAACCTGTTAATATTAATAGCTCATTAAATGAAAGAGCAAATTTTTAATCCAAGGGCTATCTGGAAGGATGTAATATTATAACCCCATGCTCCCCTTTTCTCAGCAATCAATCTCATAACAAGGTACATTACCATTTTAGTTACTAGTTGCTATAAATTTGTTTATTAAAATTAATACATGTAAAGAATCAATTTAAGCTTCAATAAATGATTCACAATGTTCCACCCACCAGGTAAGAGAAATTATTTCTGTGTGATGCATTTTCTGATTGAAAGAAGCTATGTCCTGATCTCTCGCAATGACTGGTTTTCATTTTAACAAAACTGAAAAAGAACCCTCCTTGTGGCTGATGCACCTAGAAGTTGCATTTTATTTTAAAATTAGTTTCTCATTCGACATACATTGCAAATAGGTTTATTTTAAATAGATTCAGCTATTTGTCAGTCCACTTGGTTTTATTAAAATTAATATATCTAACACATTGAAGGCCTCTTAATTATAGTATCTGCAAGAACTAAGCCAGATCTGAATGGACATATGTTTAGGAGTCATGTTTATTAATAACAGTAACAAAAATGATAAAAGCCAGAGGTGACACTAATTAACTACTCTGTTATTACATGCCATGGCCCAGGTACAGGTTTATGTTATTTACATGCAGTCTTTGCTTCAAAGGAACACACTTCAGGCAGAATAAGCCTTAGTTTAGCTATTCAGCTGCATTCATGAGTAACAAAAGGTCACTGCAACCCTCACCTGGTACAGTGCAGACCTCACTACACATCAGATTCCATTAGGTGCTCCTGTGTTTCCTTGCCACCCCTCTTTAGTCTGATGGTTTTCCCTTGTTATTCTTCTCTTTGCTCTGCAAGTTTAATCTTGAAATGGTAGGCTAACAATTTGATGCTTCTACTGCAAAGTTCTTTGTACAACACACTAAACTCTTCTAAGAAAAGGTAAAATATACTTCTAAATAAATAGTACACTTAGAAACCATTCAAAAAAGCAAAATGTTCCTGGCCCATAAATAGGAAAGAACCTACGGAAAATGATGACATTTCTGTATTGCTGATGCCTCAACTTCCTCTGCCTACACCACTGATTCTACTCAGAAATAAATCTATGCTGTGTTAAGACACCACAATTTTGAAACTGTTTGTTACTGCAGCAAAACCAGCCTCTCCTGTCTAATATACTAGACACAACACGTGGCACATACTAAGCAGATCTGAAAAAACGGAAGTAATTGATGATTCTTCATGATTTAAAGACTGCCTTGTATTAAAATGTATATTACAAGAATGAAATGAGTCAGATGTTGGAATTATCTGGCAAGGATTTTAAAGCAGCCATCGTAAAGGCGTTTCAACAAGGAATTATAAATTTTCTTGAAACAAATGACACAATAGGATATTTCAGCAAAGAAATGTAAGTTATTTTAAAAAATGGAAACTTTAGAAATGGAAAATACAATAACCAAAATAACTCACTGGATGGGCTCAATAGAAGAGTGGAGAGGACAGGACAGAACCAATGAACTTGAGGATAGAGCAACAGAATTTACCCCATCTGAACAACAGACCGAAAAAAGACTGAAAAAAAAATGAACAGTGTCTCAGGGACTTGTGGAGCAATAACAAAAGGACTAACATTCATATTATCAAAGTCCCAGAAGGAGAAGAGAGAGTGGAACTAAAAAAATATTCAAAGAAATAATGGCTGAAAACTTTCCAAATTTGGTGAAGGACATAACCCTACAGATTCCAGAAGCTGAGCGAGCCCCAAAAACAATAAGTCAAAGAAATTCATGTTGAAATACATCATAATTAAACTTCTGAAAACTAAAGTAAAAAATAAAATCTTGAAAGCAGCCAGAGAGACATGACACATTACTTATGGGGGGAGCACCAATTCAAATGACAACAGAGTCCTCATCTGAAATGACAGAGGCCAGAAGGAAGTAATACAGCATTTCTCAAGTCCTGAAAGAAAAAAACTCAACCACAAATGCTATATCCGGTGAAAACATCCCTCAAGAATCTAGGGGAAATAAAGACACTCTCAGATGAAGAAAAACTAAGAAAATTTGTTGCTCGCAAATCTATCCTCAAAGAATGGCTAAAGGAAGTTTTCTAGACAGAAAGAAAGAGAAGATAGGAGGTAACAGAAGAGGGCTTAGAACTTTAAACATAGGAATGGGTGAAAATAGGGGTAAATATAGTAGATTATCCTCCTTTTCATGAGTTTCTTAAATAATATTTGATAGTTGAGGCAAAAAGTATAACACCAACTGATGTGGTGCTCAATGAATGTAAAGTAAATATTTATGACAATTGTATTTAAAAAGCGGGAAGGGTAAAGGGACATAAATGGAAGTACAGTTTCTACACTTGTCTAGAAGTGGTAAAACGTCATGGATACCAGCAGACTATGATAAGCTATATATGTTTGTTTTTTTTTTTGGTGAGGAAGATCAGCCCTGAGGTAACATCTATGCCAATCCTTTCCCCCCCCCCCCCCAAACCCCCAGTAGATAGTTGTATGTCATAGTTGCACATCTCTCTAGTTGCTACATGTGGGAAGCCGCCTCAGCATGGCCGGACAAGCAGTGCATCGGTGCGCGCCTGGGATCTGAACCCGGGCCGCCAGTAGCGGAGCATGCGCACTTAACCACTAAGCCACAGGGCCAGCCCCTATATGTATTTTCTAATAGCTAGCACAACCATTAAGAAAACCATACAAAGAAATATACTCGAAAACTATTAAGAAATCAGGGCAGAATCTTACAGAAATATTCAATAACTCACAGGAAGGGAAGAAATAGAAACAGAGAAATGAAAAACAGAGAAAACAAACAAAATTAAAAATGGCAGACTTAAGTCCCAACATGTCAATGACTACCTTAAATGTGAATGATCTAACCACACCAATTAAAAGACAGATTGGCAGAGAAGGAAAAAAGTCTATTACAAAAGGTTGTATGGTTCCATTCATATAATATGCTTGAAATGACAAAATTATCGAGATGGAGAACAGATTAGTGGTTGCCAGTGGCTCTGACTACAAAAGGGTAGCACAAGGGAACCTTGTGATGAACTGTTTTGTATCTTGGCTGCAATGATGGTCACATGAATCTTCACATGTGACAAAGTGCACAGAACTAAATACACACACACACATGAACAAATGAGTGCATGTAAAACTGGTGAAATCTGAATAAATTCTGTAGATTGTATCAATACCAATTTCCTGGTTGTAACGTATTAGAATGATGCAAGATGTTACCCTTTGGGAACTGGGTGAAGGGTATGCAGAATCTCTTTGTATTACTTTTTACAACTGCATGTGAAGCTACAATTATCTCAAAAAAAACTTTTTAAAAATAACTCAAGAAAATAATGTTTATTACAATAAAACAATTTTGGCTCTATATACAGTCTTGGATGAAATAAAGAGGCCAAAAAATAAACCAAATCTTTTCCCTAATTCTTTTGTTATTAGAGTTGAGGTGGGAAAGGAAGGACACGCATTTTCATTCTGGGTTCCATAGCTTGAAACTCAGAAATTCTGTAACATCAACACAGAAGACTACCATAATATGTATAGAGATTAATGCGTTTTGTTAAAAAAATAATAATTGTATTGTTTTGCTAAGTATATAAGGCATATTTTTTACAGAAAATTTAGAAAATGAAGGTAGATAATGATAGTAAATAAAATAAAAATCACATGATGGGGGCCGGCCCCGTGGCTTAGCGGTTAAGCACGTGTGCTCTGCTACTGGCGGCCCAGGTTCGGATCCCAGGTGTGCACCGACACACTGCTTGTCCGGCCATGCTGAGGCCGCGTCCCACATACAGCAACTAGAAGGATGTGCAACTATGACATACAACTATCTACTGGGGCTTCGGGGGAAAAAAAGGAGGAGGATTGGCAGTGGATGTTAGCTCAGAGCCAGTCTTCCTCACCAAAAAAAACAAAGAGGAGGATTAGCATGGATGTTAGCTCAGGGCTGATCTTCCTCACCAAAAAAAAAAAAATCACATGATGCAGTGATGATATGGTCTTGTAGTCTTTTTTTTCTACGCTTATATGTAGATTTTGGAGGGTGGAAAGCAACTGGATTATACTCGAAATCAGGAATCGGCAAACCACAGCCAAAATCCAGCCAAACTCCTGTTTTTGTACAACCCGTCACAAATTAAGTAGGCTTTTTACATTTTTATATGGTTACTCACCTACATAATATCTTCAATATTGCCTCTTTGACTGCAAAGTCAAATATTTACTATCTAGACCTTTACAGAAAGAGCTTGCCAACCTCTGCTCTGAACAGCATTTTTGTAAAAAGCTTTTTTCAATTAAAAAGATAATACAGTTCCTTATTTCTGGATATTTAGCCTGTTTCCAAATTTTTATATTATAAACAAAGTTGTAATGAACACTCTTGCAGCTAAATTTTGCACAGAGAAGGACGTACTCTTCAAAGGAGATATAACTTATAATTAACATTATTTTATTCTATAATTATTATTTTCTAAATAAATAGCATTATTTTATGGCAAAATAGGAATTTTATCAGAATTCTTAACGTTATATATAAATTAGCTAAACAATTCTCTATGCTCCAGAAGAGAAAGCAAAGTTCAAAGATTCTGAAATTGGGGGCCAGCCCAGTGGCAAAGAGGTTAAGTTCACGCACTCTGCTTCGGTGGCCCGTGGTTCACCAGTTTGCATCCTGGGCATGGACCTACACACTGCTCATGGAGGCATGTTGAGGTGGCATCCCACATACTGCAACTAGAACAATGTACAACTATGACATACAGCTATGCATCAGGGCTTTGGGGAGAAAAAAAAGGAAAAAAGGAGGAAGACTGGCAAGAGATGTTAGCTCAGGGCCAATCTTCCTCAAAAAAAAAAAAAAATCTGAAATTGAATCTTTTCCTACTAGTTGAACAAGCTAAAATCTGTAACATCACCCAAAATATCATTTTATACATAGACAGGAGTTCCAAGGAAGATTTTTTTTTTTTTTTGGTGAGGAAGATTAGCCCTGAGCTAACATCTGTTGGCAATCCTCCTCTTTTTTTTTTGCTGAGGAAGACTGGCCCTGGGCTAACATCCATGCCCATCTTCCTCTACTTTATATGAGATGCTGCCACAGCATGGCTTGATGAGCGGTGTGTAGGTCTGCACCCGGGATCCGAACCTGTGAACCCCCTGCCACCACAGCGGAGCACGCGAACTTAACAACTATGCCACCAGGCTGGCCCCGATAATTTTTGATTTTTGATTTTGTTTTCTTCCTATAGTAGTTTTGTATGGATGCCACCTGCCATTTCAGTTTTTAAATGTCTTAGACTTTCCAAAGAGCAGCAATAGGTGCTCCTATGGAGTGGATGAGGTATTTGGGTGGTTTACTAGGTTTCTCAGTTACATTGGTAAATGAAGTCCATTTTCTTTAATAAGTGACATCTTGTTTTGGTGGTGGGAAGAGAGGAGTAGGTAAGTCTCCTGATGATATCCTTTGTTTTGGGTCACCCTTAATTTCCCCTGCTTTTTCTTTTTTCCTTCACCACCACACCTCCAGGGGATGCCTCCCCCTTCTTTCCAAGAGTAGCCCCATCTTAACACTGTCACCTCTGGTCCCATGTATTTTCAATCCTCTTCTCTTAAATTCCCCAGTGGCCAGTGCTCAGATCCACCAGGTCTCAGACCGTCCTCACTGTTTCCCCACTCAAGGTAGGGCCCTCTGCCTCCTTGGGGTGATTGACCTCTGTATCCTGCCACTGCTGGGGCTCAGCTGCACTCTCTTCATTTCCATCAGTCTCCATCTGACTCTCAGCTCCACAGTCAATCCAGAGCTGGCTCTGCTGGTTTCAGATATGTATCTTCCCACTTACATTGAAGTTTATAGTACTCTCTGGTTCCTAATGACACTGGAGGCATGAGTTACACGTGCTTTTGTTTGCTCTCCTCATGGATCTGTTTAGTAACTGAAGGATGTGTGGAAAGATTTATGTACGTGGCTGCCAACACGCTCCTCACCTCTGAAATGAAATTCCTGGACAGGGCTCTAACACTGCAGGATTCTGTACCAATGATTCTGAGAACACAGGGTTCTCAGTTAACTAGAGATTTCCAAAAATAAGAATGGGTCATCTGAAATGCATTTTAATACTTTATTAAAAACTCACAAATATTATACCTTATCTGTAAGCAAACTCAGTAATGCCTTACCAGGAGCCCCAAAGAGAGTATCAGAGGTCCTAAGTAGTGAAAATATTAGGAACTAAGACTCTGTAGCTGGACTACAAATGCATGATGGCATAACATATAAGATGTTCCCTGGATGAATACGTATAAGCCCACCTTTTCCCTTTTCCCTGAAAAAGCAAACAAAATTTGTATAATAACTATATGCCAAATTTATAGACTATAATGGCTACGGTCACGTCGCTGTGGATTTCCAGCAGGTTATCACAGATATTTTTTCATTCCTCTGAGCTAAACAAAACAGTAAAAGGAAAAAATGTAATTATTATTATTAGTTCATCCATAAAATTGATGAGCTAATTAACGTGTTACACTGAAACTTATTTCCTAAACATAGTCTTGAAAAGGAATCTTTTTAAAGCCCTCCCTTATATGTTACTTTAGTCTCCTTAAAATACAATCTTTAACACAACTTAGCTCCCAAACAGCTTTTCAGGAGTTATTTTCCTTTTATTTTAATAAATAAACTATTCATTTCAATGATTTAGAAAATATACCAATAAGCATGCCATACTATTAAAAGAATAAAGATAGCATAAATATTGCAGAATCTACAGTGGTTATCTTAAAAACAAGATTTTTAAAGTGTCAAGATTAGTTTGTAAAATTTTGTATCAATTTTCCCACTGTCTACATGCTTCAGATTAAGATATTGTTCAAGATGAGGAGAAAATTTTTTGTTCCTTTTCCTGTTTATTTTTTAAGCTAATCCATTTAATTTTTTTAATGACAACTAGCGTGTTCCTCCCCAAGGCTCAATCACCCATGGGCGTACTTCCACCACCCCAGCCCCTGAGAACGCTGCACTTCGCAAGGCGGATCAAGCTCAAGATAATAACATGGCTACCTAGAAATCCCCAGGCTCCTGAATCACCACCTTACCTCAGACTCATCCGTAGATTCTTCAAGAGACTCGGTTTCCTACAAAGCATAGAGGGAAAAAATGGTCAGAACAGATGACAAAAGAATAAAAAACATTTTCAAGGGAAAAGAGTCCTCACGTCCCCACCACTGACACCCACCTGCCCTTCTGTGGAGGTAATTTGCACTACAGTTTAAAGGGCTCCACGTGGTCTGACTCGCACAGGCCTCCTGCAACTTCTCTACACCCTGCTGGACTGAGACGGTTACTCTGGGGCCACATGGACCCACTGCTCCTGCTGACTTCCCTCCAGTGGTCAGCAAGTTAACAAATGACCCCAGGAACTTGCCATATGAGTACATGGAAGGCTTTTCTCTCGCTAAAAAATGGAAATCGGTCTGGCAAAGCAGCCTCACTGATCTCAGATGGGAAGAGGAAACTGCCATCCCGAATTACCTATAAGCCAATCTGTCCACAGAAGAGCCCTTGCGTTATTAATCATTATGCTATTAATCTGGCTGAGTCAGAAGGATTGTCTTGGTTAAACAGCCTTTACAAAAGAATTTCCCTAGAGTGGTACCTATCAGACACTGTGCAAACAAGCTATATAATTTACATCCACTCTTTAAACCATTAACCAGAAGACAAATTCTGCCATTTAACACAGTTCCCCTCTTGCTAGACAACGAATCTTGCTGCTCTGGAGAAAACAAAGCAAAAGGGAAAAATTGACTTGATCCTGCTAATCTCTCACCAGTCCACTGAAAGAGAGAATCTGCTGATGCCACGCATCCTCGAAGAGGTCAGCAAAATGAAGATTTACTTAACGTACTTATAGATATCAATAGCAATAAAACGTTACAACTAATATGCTGACACTGAATGTAAGCATTTTACAACAATCCATGAGCTAAAGAAAGAACAAAAAAAAATGGGGCAAGGACATTTTAGATATAACTAATATTTTTTCAAGGAAAAAAAAGGAACATTTTATAAAAAGTTAGAAGCATATATTACTCAATGTGAACTGGGTAGCAGGATAAAGGCAAATCTGGTGTTTGTAAACATTTTAATTTCATTCATCAGGAATGAGGAAGAGCCTGGCAAGCAGCAGGCTGCCTCTGGAACAGCCTGGTGGCCAATACAGTCTCTGCTCTCGAAGGCCATCTGTAAGATGGGGGTGAGTGTTACTTGTAATTAAGCATTTTATTGTAGTTATATTATTAACCACGATGAATATGAGAATCTCCTCCACATCCCAACGCAGTCTGTTTAATTTAATGTTAATCTAACTCTTAGAAAGTTCTTATTAATTTGGAGTTACAATCTCTCCATAGTAACTTTTTGTTCTTAGCACCAAGAAGACACATAAAAAATACAATTCACAGGGCTGGCCTGGTGGCGTGGTGGTTAAGTTCGTGTGCTCCACTTTGGCAGCCCAGGGTTCACAGGTTCAGATCCCGGGCACAGACTTACATTACCCCTTATCAAGCCATGCTGTGGTGGCGTCCCACGTATAAAGTAGAGGAGTATGGGTACGGATGTTAGCCCACGGCCAATGTTCTTCAGCAAAGAGAGGAGGACTGGCAACAGATGTTAGCTCAGGGCCAATCTTCCTCACCAAAACAAACAAACAAAAATCCAATTCTTCTACTACCTGACAGTTCTCCAGAGAGTTAATGACACAAATCATGCCTACCCTTCGAAATCGTTTTTCCTCTCCACTAACCATCCCCAATTTCCGGTTTTAGTCCATTTACCATCCTGATTCTCCTCTTTTGGACACATACCACTTAATATTAACAGTCACTATTCTGACATCTTTACTGTACATCTACTATATATTGCTCAGAATGCTAAATGTTTTACATGTAGCACCTTGAAATTTCCTAACTACCTCTGAGGTAAGGTTGACCATTTAAATGACTTCTAACATCCCTTGATCCCTGACAGTCCCTGAATATTAAGTTATTAGCATTAGCAAACAAGGCTTTGACAACTGTGCCAATAAGCCACACCTAGATTCCTATTTCCCGGCTCTACACCTCTAAAAGAACACTTGACTGCTCCCTTCAGAAAAATTACATTAAACCTAAGGAAAAAATTTTTTCTTATTTGGAATCCATTCAAATATGTATATGGGGTTTAAGGACAAATGTCCCATTTACCTTCTTCACTAAAACTAAAACCTAAGTCCCCAACTAGCAATTTCAATCCAAAAACTCAAAGTCAAATTATACTCTTATTCTCCAACAGAAAGCATGCAGGGCCAGAATATGACACCTTGAGGCACGCAGATCTCAGAAACAGGAGTCTTCGGGGGAAAACGAGGCTCTCACAGTAGCTTCTTGTGCCTGCTGGTATCTATCCAGAATATTTACTCCAGGACACTCTCAGACTTACCCTCAGCACCAGCACAAACCTCCCAAATACAGCTGTGACCTCAAAAAAATTACACTTTATCCACAATGCTACCTAAGCAATGCATGAGTGACTTCAGGAATTAGCCTGGTCTGTTATTTCTCAGCTTCATTCATTCATCAGGCCCCTCTGCTTAACGCTCTAGAGACAGATGGGCAAACAAGAAGTCATGAAGTGAAGGTCCGCAGGGAGGGATCCAAGAAGCAAGGCTGAACCCTGAGAAAGGTTATGATTTAGAAAGAGTCAATGATTTTCAAACTTTTTTTAATTTCATACTCTCTCCTTCAAAGAATCTAACTTCAAATCAAGAAAATGCAAGTTATAAAAT